AGCCAAAAAATCGGATATAAAAAAAAACGATTTTAATATTATTAAAATTACATCGTCATCAATTGCAACACAGTTTACGATAATTGAAATACTTAAATACTTCCAAGTTTGATAAATTCAAATACTTAAAAACTTCCAAGTTCAATAATTGAAACAAAGTTTACAATAATTGAAATAAAGTTTAAAAATAAACTAAATCGCCATCTCTTCTTCATCATCTTCGCCTTCTTCGTTTGGAGGGGATATTCCAAGTTCGACTTCTTCAATGTGTAAGTTTGCTTCCAAATCGGCATCAATTGCATCTTCTAGGGTGGTGATATGTTGCTTCAGAGCTGCTCCATCCAAATAATCCTTCAAACAAATGCATACTTCCACCGACTCGGGTCTTAGTCTTGATCTCCGTTGCGATATAACCCTGCCACTAACAGAAAAAGCAGATTTCGAAGCTACCGTAGAAGCTTGGACGGTTAGTAAATCACAGGCCATAGCAGCTAGAATCGGAAATTGTGCTTCCTTTTCTTTCCACCAAGCCAAAATATCGAAACTGTCAAACTCTTCAAATGACATTTTTGATAGAAAATCGATGACATGTAGTTTTCCAACTAGCTACTTAGGGTGGTAGTATGTGATCGTTTAGATTAGGAATTTACAAGAGTGTTAAAAGTGACAAATTTATGTTAGTTGGACGTCTACTAGATGATTCCACATTCGTTCTCATTTAATCATGTATTACACTACTTGATTCGTATTTAGTTAAATAAATTGCAAACATGTCTCGAAAACATTTGTTAAAATAATTTATTTGGTTTGGACAAAGTTGGGTTCATCATCGGTTAGATTAAAACCAAACGCAATTTGTTCAATTAGTGTTTCAACCCCGCCAACATTTAACGTTGGGTTTAAAGCGGCGACACAAGTAAAAATGGGGGGAATCTCTTTAAAATATTTTAAAAGTTTTTCCTTCATTGCAAAGCCAATTTCTTGAAAACTTCGGTTTCAAATTCAAATTCAAAGTCATTTAGTCGGGTAGCCAACAAAAATATTTGATTAAAAACCAACGGGCTAGTAGGGTAATAAACACCGGATAAAAAAGTTGTTGCATTTTTAAAAACTCCAAGCAAATCGGTTATTTTGGCTATAGTTAAACAACTCAAATCCGAATAAATGTTTGGGACATGGCCCCTATCGAAAATCTGATCGTGAAATGTTTGCAATATTTCACTTTGCCTTAAGGCGGTATGTATCATCATCCAAGTTGTGTTCCAACGAGTTGGACAATCCAAATTAAGACCCAGAGCTTTTTTATTAACCGACTTACAAAATCGTTTATAATCATTTAGTCTTTTGTTGTTGTTATAAAGAGCCGATTTATCATTGCTTTAAATTCTAACTAATCGGCTCAATAACCTCCAAACGGGCTTGTACGGATAAATTAATTATGTGTGCAACGCAACGGGTATGAAAAAACGCACCGTCTAAAATCGGTGAAAGTAATATTTTCAATCTTGGAACCACGTTTGTATTATTCGATGCATTATCAAAAGATATAGAAAAAACTTTATTTTCTAATTTATAAAGACAAATTACCCTTTTTTTAAAGTGTAAATAAATTAGCACCGGTATGCAGCTCACCGAATAATTCAAACGTGATTGTTCTTTTCATCATTTGTCAATTATCTTGATCTAACCAATGTGACGTAACGGCTAAAAAAGAATTTCCGGTATTATGAGGGGAACTCCAAACGTCACATGTAAGCGACACACCATAACGGTGTTCTTGGAATCCTAAAATCATTTTTTCCCTCACCGTACGCCACATTTTTATAGCATCTCTTCTAAGGGTAGTATGACTTACTTGAGTATAACGTGGTTGCATTAGTTGTTGAATTGTTGCCGTGAAATCTTCATCGTCAAAGTGGTCGAACGACAATACTTTTGTAATCACGAACTTTGTAAACGCTTATCGTAATTTTTTGTTGTCGTAAACAAAAATACCATCTTGCGGTGTAAGATTCGATTGACTTGGATTCGATCTTGAGCGAAGTGCCTTGCATAATTTTGTCAAATGGTTCTTCAACGTTGTGTTTCCTTCCGGTACAAGCAACTTTAGACAAAGTTTACAACGCGCCCTCCTCGAGCCATTTGACATCTCACATAAATCGTAGTGATCCCAAATATCTTTGTTTCGAGTGTGTTCGATCACTCTCACGACTTCAAGGTTTCCCCCGACGGAAGATTCAGCCGTGTTACTTGTAGCCATGATGAACAAAAAATTACAAAAATAAGATTTGAGAAATGTTTAGGTGTTATATAATAAGATTTGAGAAAGTTGTAATCAACCAAATACATCCTCAACCTATTTATACAATGTTTAGGGTGGTAAAATGGTAATTTTTTTAGAAAAAAAAGGTCAAAAAAGGGTCACAAAAGCCCCTCAACGGCTAGCTTTTTAAACCTAGACCGGTTTTTTTTTCCGGATAAAAAACCGGTTTTTTTCAAACCAGTAAAAAAACCAGTAGTCCAATTTTTTCCCAAACCTGTTATATTATCCAATTTTAAAATATTCAATCTGATTTAAAAAAAATCGGTTTTTTCTAAATCCGATTTCAAATATTTTTTTACGTAAAATCAGATATTCGGATTTTTTATACCTCTCTAGTGATGAAAGGAGTTTGAATAAGCGAAGAAAAGGTGTTGATTAAAGTAAAAGAGAGAGAAAAATTGGTTGGCATGCATGGGTTTAGATGTTTTTCCCCCAACAAACTCAGACATTAATTTAATTTTGTTGGAGAAATGAGCTGTTAGGGATGGCTGGTTGGGAATTTATTCTTCAAACTGTTTGAACTGTGGGTCGTCGGCTATCCTGGCCCTGTGAACATGATAAAATAAAAAAGGTTAACTACACATATAATAACTTATTGTGATTTGTCAACTTTTAATTACTGGTTTTAAAATACGTAAGATATATTTATATTCAATTTTATTTAATTAAGATATGATCATTTTCATTTTTATTTAATTAAGATGTGGTCACAACGAGCTAATTGTAGTTAACAGTTAACATATTAAGTGATATGATATTTTGGTGTAATCACACATTAAGTCCTATTATTCATATATTATCTCAATCTAATCATACTTTTTAATAAATTAAAAATAAATTTAATTATCCAATCGAATGATTTCACGTTCACCGGTTTCATGTGTAGTGCCACGTGTCATCATCTGGTTAGAAGACTGACTTTATTTTAATTTAAAACCCAACCCAAACCAGATTAAAAAAAAAATCTAACCCAGTCGGGTCGAGTCGGAACCCTTCGAGTTCGAGTCCCATGCCCATCCCTAGTTGGATATTCGATATACTTTGATTTTTTTAATCAATTATCGTTTATTTAAATTTTCAAATTTAATTATATATAAATTTTGTATATATTTAGGACAGTTGGATAAGTATATTGTGCAAGTGGATTTTGACTCTCTATATATTATGATTATTTATATTTATTATGATTTAATTTTGATTTTTTTGTATAGGCATATTGATCAAACAAATTCAAAATCAATTTACTTTTTATTCAGATCATCTATGTTATTGATAAATCAGGTTGTAACTTTAAAATTTAATTATATTTTTTCTGACTGTAAAACAAAATTTTTAAAATAATATTAATAAATAAAAATTTATTTTTTTATATTAATATATATAATTTTTTATTGATGCAATTAAATCTAGTAAAAAAATCTTTTTAAAGGCCACGGAATAAAATTTTAAGATATAATTATTAGACAATTCTTTAATTTTGTTTTATAAAATTTAATTTTAGAATTGAAATACAAAAAAGTAAAAAAAAAAATCCAAAATTACAGAAAGTAAAAAATATATATTTTGAAATTTAAAAATAAAATTAATGTATTTTTTTCAAAACATTTTATGGTGAAAATAAAAAATCAATTTAATATATTTTTTCAAAACAGATTATATATAAGGAGGCATTTGATCTATTTCGACTGGATGATATTTCTCATATGGTTGAAATGCTTACTCGAGATTGACATCTCTATTTCACTAAATAATGTAACTCTTGAAACTAATTTCACAAAGCCATCGTTCTTGTTTTGAATCTAATCAATTCATAAATATCCTCAGAACAATTCTGTTGATCAGGTCGATGAACCATTAATTTGGCTGTGGAGAAGGGTCAACATGTTTCCAAGCAAAATATTTTCTCTTTATTTCGGGATCTATCGATTTTGGTCAATCCAAACATAGATTGTCACATGGTCTTATGTTAGGGGACGAACTTCTAAAATTGTAAGAGACGAACTTATAAACTTCTAGGGAGTCAAAACAGATTATCTATTGAAAATACAAAAACAAATATATCTAAAATATATACTAATTTAAAAATTTTAAAGGGACAATGATCCTACCTTCGGTCCATCTTGAACCCAGACAAGCTTTTTGGATATATTCGGGTAAACATTTGACAGATTTCACTCGATCTACTTATCACTGAGGTTGAAGTATCCGCATAATTGATGGAAAAAATCATGGGCTCCTCTTAATTGAAGTATCCACATAATTGGTGGGTAAACATTATTGTCATTCGCATTTAAATTTCTCCGAATTTCAGAAACTAAAAAAAAAAGATTTTGAGGGTTCTTTTTAATTTTTTTGTATAATTGAAATTTAAAAGAAAGTAGTTTTTTTTTATAATTTCAAAAAAGAAAAATGCATTTAGAACCATGATTCTGTTACTGTTTTCCAAAAAAAAATCTCTGACAATTCATTAAATATTTTGTTTAAATTATAGATTGGGTATGTGACAGGCAAAAAGAATATAAAAATTGAAATAGTTTTATCAAATACAAAAAGATAATTATGATTAATTGGTACAGTTTTTACCTAGATGGTCCATCCAGCAAAACTTGATTTCAAGGAAATATAAGAGAGATGGAGAGTAGTCAAAAAACGATTTTACTAAGATTCCTCGATTAATCACTCGTTGCTGCATTGGTCTTTCACTATGATGAAAGGTTTCTGTGATTCAACTTCCTCTGCATCCACGTCGAAATCAAAATAAATACGAAAACCGTAAGATAGGCGACTGTTACTAGGCTGCTATCTGAATTGCAATGGGACCGCAACAACGACGCTGATGCCGTGTCTGCGGTAATTGACGCAAACCGTTCTTGGGACTGTCTTTTCCTGCAAAAACAAGGTCGCTCTTCTTATTCATCAGTTTTCAGATCAAAATATCAGCCTTTCTTGCTAGATGGATACCCTAACATTTTATGCTCACATTGGTTAAATTCATCTAGAATATCAAAAAGCCTGAATGCTCCAATGAAATAATAAATCCGAGTACGATTTTCTTAGGCTTTAATGTGGAAGATCAAAGAATATGGAAGAATTACAGTAAAACCTACCCCAAGAAGGCTTTAACTGAGTTCCACAAAGAAGCGACACGGCTGGTCTTTTCCTTTGAAGCCTCGTTGGATTTGCTAGCTTCATGCACACCTAGAAGATACAATCCCATCAGAACAAATGAAACATTGAAAATTTGAAAGTGCATCCATCAAATTAGGAGGAGAAAGAACCAATACCATGATTAGAAGGAGAACTTCTCTTAGATGCTTTGAGTGAAGCTAATTCCTCAACAAGTGCACGTTCTTCGTTGCTATCATTACACCATCATACCAAGTCTCAGGTAAGGAAAAATCCTCAAAAGACAACCAGATTAAAAACTATTGCGACAATCAATCTCATGTTTTTTTTTTATAAGAAGTGAAGGCCTCGTTAAAAACCTCCTTCATGATTGAAGGAGCACCGAAAGGTGTTCCTTTATCAGCAGAAGAAGGAAAAGAGTGTCTCAAAATTCATTAATAACTGAAAAATTACATAATGTTTAAAACATCCAAGACCCTTACAAAGAACAACCCGAAATACTCAAACAAAACATCCTTAACAGAAAAACTAACCAATACCAGCCTTTGCTAGGTTATCAGCCTCAATATTAGCTGTTCTATCAACCCATCTGATAATACCCTCCAATTCTCTTAACATGACAGCAATATCTTTCACTAGATAAAGATAAACATCAGGACATCTACCTAAATTCTTTACCCAATCTCATGTTTTAAAATCAAGATATATAATGAACTCTAAAAATGGAGTCTAGTTTATCTATGGAACGTACATTTTTTTACAAGTCAATATACAGGATTTCCTTGTGGTCAATGTTTGTTATTTAATGCTCAAATATCATGAAGTATAGAATAGAGTTTGATGTTATCCCTTTCTTACAGGTAAAGGTATATCGATGAAAAAAAAGTGAAAATAAAAGAAATTAATGGATTCAATCAGTAGGGCCTTTTTCATGCCCATAGCCTTACAAAAAAATGCGCCTAGGCACACTAGGCGAGTGCACAGCTAAATGGGCATGGAAATGAAAGGTTCTGAGGCGCTTTTGTGGTACAATGCTAAGGCACAGGTGTGCCTAGGCTCACGCCTTGACAACACTGAAAACAATCAAAATTTGAACTCGACTTAACAAAGCTTGGGTGGAAATGAAGTAGCTGAATCAAGCTGCTTTTGAGCATGTTTGCTCAACAAACACAGATTATTGTGTTATGCATTTATATATTTAGAGCTACTTTTGATCATGGTTGTATTTGGTAATTCATGCTCTTATTTTAGTTCATTAAATATTTATATTATTTCAGTTTCATGTAGGTTTTGATGACAAAGAAAATTGAGTTGGCAACATTTCTCCTCCTGTGATTATTGTGGTTTTCTGACCCTAGTTATTCTATACATCCCAATTCCCCCGTCCTCTCCAATTCTTGTTTTCAATTTAAAGTTTCTATGTTATCATTTTCCCCTCCCATTCTAGTCACAAACACCTCATTTCAAGGTATCTTCCGACAGGCTTTAATATCAATGTTAATCGTGTAATAAAAGCAAATTTGTCACTGTTCCTATTTGTAACTATAGAACCAGGTCTAAATAATACAGTTGTGCAAAAAATAAATTAATAAATAAGTACCATTGAAACTAAACTACAGCACTTGTAACTATTTAAGATGCATGAAGTGGTAAGTAGGTATGTCGGATAAATACCTGATATCTTTGGGGATCAGAACATTCACAATAAAGTGATGATCACCTCTAACTGAAGGTTTATTGATATCTGGAACTCCTAAGCGTGACAGTTTCACTTTATCACCAGGCTGAACCCCACGGGGGATTTTAAGATTTTTAATACCTTCAACAGTTTCTACCTGAAGTTATTTCAGATTAATGATTAAAAATAAAGACACGGAAAAAAGAACTCTCAAACATGTAGAAAATTAAGGACTGAAATGCTTGATATGAACCGGAATATATCCAAAATAACTACTTTTAAGGGGTTTTACCCTAAACTTTTAGTTTGGAGTCTATATTGTGGCCATGCATTCAAGTAGCTGTTGACAAAATCTAGCAGATTTTTTTACCCGATAGTTTAGTATGACATCCCTAAAAATCTGGCAATGAATTAAGGAATAATTTCCTAAAATTACCAAGTCAGTGCAAGCTGTAAATACCAAGTTAGTAATTTTAATAGTAGCCCTTCCCGAGTCATTTAGATTGGATGCGTAATATGGCACGATATCCAAGTAGATTTTTAACCACATTTGTTCCTTGTAGCCCCAGTTTTTGAAGTTACAGTCTTGGGCATTCTAGTAGACAAATACTTGTGAGCTAATATCTCACATAGGTTTCTTTGGAGTTTTTGATGCACCTACATTCACTTGGACCTCTCCAGTTTCTACCTATTTCCAATTTATTTCATTGGTTGCAGGAAAATAGAGGTTCTAGGTTCCTAAGCATCTAAAAAATAGGCAATATTAAGCATGTGATTTTCCTAAAAGTTGATGACTAAAATATAGAATGGCAAAAAATAATACAAAAGATAATCAAGTTTTGTAAGAATAAAAGTCTTAACAGAAAACTAATATATTCAGATATTAGCATATGCTTTTGGAGCTATTTTTGAAGTTACCCTTGAAGCAGGGAGAATTCAAATGCCAAGGGGTATTGAGAAAATACTGGACTCAACCTTAGCACAGGCTTCTTATTTAAGGCATAATATTACTCACTAACAACCTCCAGATATTGGACAAGAACGTAAAAGACAACCCATACTCAATCCTACTTTCAATTCTCTCATTCCTACGCAGGATTCTAAAATCAAAAGGTTCAAGAAGTCATGGACATCATCTTCAACTGCAGTTTATAGCTAATATCTTTTCCTTGGCTTTCTACTTGTTTCATAATTTAGAAGGTGCAATTGATCTATGTTTAGAAAAAATCATCAAATAAGACACTTAGAGTTGTATATGTTGAGGATTTAAATTTGTTCCTCCGGTTGATTTGTGGGTTTATTAATGGTTCTAGCATAAATGTACAAGTCTTAAAGAGGAAAAGAATATAATTTAGCATTTTACAACTTAATTCAGAATCACATTGTAGTTCTTTATTTCACTGGTAATGTGTGCGTTCATTTTCTGAACTTAGAAGTATTTTCATGTATTTTGTGAGACTTTGAGTTAATGTGTGTCTTCATTTTCTGAGCTTAAGTATAACCTTTTACCAACTAAGTGACAGCTTAGCATGTTGACCATTGCTAATAAACACCTAATAACAAATCCTTGTGCTTATAGTTAGGGTTAGGGATTCATTTATTCTTTATTTCCAAGAGTTAGACAACTATGTAAATATATACCACTGTAACTAGAAGGAGAAAAAATAGACCAATCCAAATTCATCATGTGCTATCATTGTTTATGTCTAATTAAATACCATTAGTATAGCCAAGAACCCAACACAAATGATCAGACAAAGCACAGCCACAGAGAGATTGATAGGCACTGCATTAAGGAAAAGGTGACTGATGATGTTTTATCACACATGACATCTAACAAGCAGCTAGCTGGCGTGTCCACTATAGGGCTTAGCAAGAAGACTTATCATACTCTAGTCTCAAAGTTGGGCATGTGTGATATCTATGCACCCACTTGAGGGATAGTTTTGACTAAGTGACAGCTTAGCACGTTGATCAAAGCTGATAGACACCTAATGACAGATTCTTGGGTTTTGGGTTTATAGTTAGAAAATTTTCATTTATTCTTTATTTCCAAAATTAGACAGATTAGTGTATGTACCTATGTAATTTGATTAGAAATACATACAGGAATGCAACTAAAAAAATTCAACACCTTTTATACTAATGTATCTATAAGCGGAAATTTGTATATTCAATTTGGAATGATCCTCTCTGAACAAATTTGTAACTACATTCCCTCTAACCCCTTGCATACTACTCTCACTTTGTACTAGCCAAAGACCTTAAGGTTGATGATTAAATGAATATGAGGGAATTAAAAGTCAACAAGTACCATCACCACCGTGCCCAGTATTGCCTCAGTGTAGTCAACATTGATCTTTGAGTAAAGATTGAGACCTTCCCTCCAAATTCCTTGCTTTACTCCTACATGGATGACTACGAAGAGATCACCAACTAATCCCCTATAAAGAGAGATGATTTTGTTATTGCATGATAAAAGTTTCCTCGGTACAAAAAATTCTAACCATAATATATAAGATGAAATGAAACAAAGGTGAACATAAATTAAATCATTAAATTTCTCCAAACAAAATTACTAAATTAAATAAGATGCCCAAAGCAGAAGCTGAATCTCTTTTTTTGTACTAAAAATGTAATGGTCGAGAACTAAATTGCATTACCAAAATTAACAAACTGCTTTACATCCAAGCACTTGCATTCATTGTTTATAGCATTACTCTTGCATGATAATAAAACAAATGAAAAGGTTAAAGGAAATCGAAGGACTATAGAAAAAATAAAAACGACTCATACAATATTGAAGAAAAAGATTCCTGAATACGAATAGATTCAAAGAAAAAAGAAAAGAAAAAACATAACAGTTTGGCCCTGTTAAGCTTGGAGGGCCCAACTTTTAATATAAGCCCACACAGGAAACCTAATAATATATAAATGTGGGGTAACAGTTAACACCACTTAACAGAACCAACAAAAGAAAATATCCCCTTTTCATAAAAGATAACCAAGATTCCTAAGTTTTAATGCATGCTTCACTTCTTTGTCTTGCTGTTCACTTCTCTCAATTACAATCCTAAGATCAAATCCTACTCAATTCGGCAGCTTAGCCTATTACACATCAGAAACCAATATACCAGAGAAAATATCTGCTAGCAACTCACCCAACCTGCCAGTCAATGGAAAAAGGAAAAATGGAAACCCACTCTACTTCAGATCTCCAAATGAATTTATCTAAATAAAAGTAAATAACAAAGAAATAAAAAGACTCTCATATGCAAAGACCATGCTCATAACAAAAAAATATGCAATAAAAAGAATATCTTTTTTTTTATAGAAGTTGGAGGTCTCATTAAAAACCCCCTTCATAATTGATTCTTTCCGAGAGTTAAGGAACAACTAGCGGAAGGAGGAAAAGTGTACCTCATTTTATTGATATGAAATTCATACAACAAAATGCCTGAATTACAATAGATAAGACTATCCCCTAAGAATGCCAAAAAACATCCTCAATGAAACTACCCAGTCAACCAACCCCTTCTTTAGCTAACTTATCAGCCTCCCAATTACAACCCCTAGGAATTACTTAACTATCAACGCCCTAGACAATACAAAAAGCTCAATAAAAAGAAAATCTCAACTGTATTAATACCTTATCTTATCAAAATTGCCTTCTCCTTGTATTCGCATTGTGGAACCATCTGTAACGCCAGGGGGTATGATGACTCTCATACTTCGTCTCACCTTTACTTTACAGCTGCCACCACATCTTCGACAATTATCAGTGATTATCTTGCCCTTGCCATCACAGTTTGAGCAAGTAGAAACCTAGAAATATAGCATATTATCTGTAGAACATATGCTAAAGATGGGGGCTGGATTATAAAATTAAAATTACAAGGTTAAAGTTAAACAATTGCACTTGGGCTTACTATTTATAATTTTCGTTAATGACAAAAATTGTGCAACATAAAAATATTACACCCTTCAGTGTTGCCAGGGTCGAAGGTGCACTCTAGATATAGAACCATTACATTTCCCGAGGCCTATTTAACTGGACCAAAATATAGGTATCCAATACGAGTATTTGTGTAACTGTCTCTCTTTCCATTCAAAATCACGAACTTTTACAGTCAGTGGCATGTTAATTAAAAACATCAAAATATATATAATCCAATTTCTAGTATATATAAAATTTGTTCTCTATTTTCCCCTTTTCCAAAATAATGGTAAAAGGCTTATCTTTATATATCTTTGGATAATTAAATTTATGTCTTCTTGAATTATTTTTGAATAATAAAAATATTTTTTTGGTACTGTTATTCAGTTAAACCTATAACCTGAAGTTGGACATCATGCATCAAGAGCTAAGGATTCATTGTAAAGCTATTGATTGCAATAAAAAAAACTACTCTATTATATATATTACACCTAACCTTTTTCATTCTGGCAGCAAGCATTACTCTACCACTTTATAACTGCGATAAAAACCTGCCCTTTTATAACACCTATTCTTTTACATTTTGGCAGTAAGCATCACTTTGCCTCCTCTCTCTCTCTCTCTCTCTCTCTCTCTCTCTCTCTCTCTGTCTGTCTGTCTGCCTGTCTGAAAGACAAAGTTTCCCATTTCATATTTTCTCCCTAAGCTTTCATGTTGTCAGAGCTACACTCATCTTACACCAACAACAATGCACAAAAGTTAGTGTAGCAATCTTCCTTAGCTCTGTCATTATTCAGTGCAGAGAGAAGTCCATAATTACATGGGAAAGTCGGACACTGTTTTGTGTTGGGTACTTGGGTTCCATGACAGGTATGGCACCCAAAAGTGTCAAGGTAAAGTAGCATAGTCACAAGATAGTTCTTTCTTGAGTAAAAAGTAAAGTGCAATATGTATATACGTGTGTGTTTCTGCATGTTTCTATGTAGTGAAGTAGGGAATTTGACACTGTCTCCCTCTTTGAATTTATGTTTAATTTCTTTGACTTTTTTCATTTATTGTACCTTTAAAAAAAAGGATAGGGTGAAGGAAAGAATAAAACCCTATCCTTTTTTTTATTTAAATTTCTCTTTTTTTTTTACTTGTTTTGCATGTCTTCATTTGCTTTTCCTCCCAAAACTAGCTATTTCCCACAAAATGAATGTACAAAAATTTATTCCATTCTTCCCATTTTAAATGAATAAGCCAAGTTCAAATAGAACACAATTTGGTGCCCATTGCCCAATGAGCCCAAAAGAAAACATGAATTAAGCCTATGATACAAGTTCTATATTAAGTATATAGATAATACAATGCGAACTACTATAATACCTCCATAAGTTGGCAAGAAAACTGAAAATAGGGAACAACAATTTAGGAAAAAGGAAAATCAGAGAATCAACAACTATTGCAACATCAATCACTTTAATGTTGTGAGGATATAATACCTGTGATACAATTCCAAATGGAGTCTTTTGGGATTTTATTTCCACTCCTCTACCTCCACAACCGGTACATGATTTTATGCAACTACTAGTTTTAGCACCTGTTCCACCGCAATCATCACATGTTTCAAGATAGGATATCATAATTTCACGCTTTCCTCCGAACACGGATTCTTCAAAGCTCACCTGAAGGTCATACCTACAATATATGAAATTTTAAGTTAGAAAACAAGAATCATTTACTTAAAAATGACTTCTTAGGTCAAATCAAAAAAATAATTAATAAATTAATTAATCAAAAGGAAAAGTATATCCCATCCCCTTTTATATCTAACATTTTATAGGTTAGGGTTAACTGAGAATATTACATTTATATCACGGTTTGTAATCCTAGTTTACATATTATTAACTATAAGGTTATGTTTAAGTTTGTCAATTTGCTTTTCGGGATCTAAACATTTTTCTTAAAAATCAGAGTCTAAAATAAGTATGTGATAGCCAGCAAATTTCATTGAAGTAGATAGTTACCAAATGTCAAGATCATTGTTTCCCTTATCTCTCAAATTAATATTAAAGCCTCCTGGTCCACCCGTTCCACTGAAGAACCCATCAGAACCACCAAAGAATGCATTATACACTTCAAATGGATCGACCTAAACATGAAAATTGATCATAAAACATTAAGCATAACCATGCATCCAAAATATTTCAAATATACAACCAGAAAACAACCCCACCCACCCACACTACGCATTGACCCAAAACAAATTAAAAAGAAAGAAGGGCAGGGTGGGGGTAGATGAGATGAGTTTACTAGTAAACATAAAGCATGCCATCTGATACATGCAGGGAGAAATAGAATTAGTCATTATCTTACCGTCGCTGAAGCACCACCTGATCCATCATATCCTCCTTGTAAGCCTGCCTCGCCAATGCGATCATATAAAGATCTTTTCTCATTATCTGATAGGACCTACATAAATGCTCCATTATGACAACTTGAAAGATGAATATATTGCAAGTGCAATATTAACAATAGCTTTGATGCTTGGTCTCCTAAAAAAACAGAGTACTTGATTCAACAGGGCACAAGCATGGACTCTAATACAATTGCCTTCAATTGAAGATACGGTTCGAAAATAGGATAAGGGCGTGAGGGTTTGTTCTAAATTCAATAAAATAGGATATGTTTCTTTAATTGTAAATTATCGAGTGATCATTTCAATTTAAAGAAGATGTGAATAAGGATAGTAATGGTTTTTCTTTTTCCTTTATTTTTAAAAAAAAAACATAATGAGTTTCTTTTCTTTGAATAACAAATAGGACTCTCAAATATCAATATGCGACTAGGCATTTCAATTTTCCAAAATAGGTTTTGAGTTTAAAAACATGAACCCTTAAAAACCTATTAAGGCCCAAGTAGAATAAATGCCCTGAACCATCATTTAACTCAAACTGTAAAAATCTTAAATTTTCAAGAATGAATTCCTTTTCGTATTAGGTCTCTTTGAATGATGCCTCTACCACTTTCTCTTCACAGTTCAGTGTTTATGTCTAGTGTTTAGGATATTTTCAACATCTTTCCACCATCACTATCTATTCCTACTCTTTCAAGCGACATCCTAAGCCAATCACCCATTTTCCATATCTTCTACATTCCCTCTCTTCTTGTCATCATCTCTGTAGACCCCTTTTCTCTTTCTTAGGTTTATGGTATCTAATTTCTCTCTTGATTATCTTCTCTTTATTTTTTGATATTTAGCATCCAACCAATGAAAACGAGATCTAAAAAATAGAACTTTTAATTGAAACAGCATCAAGCTACCCTTTGTTTCCAAACTGTCGGTTATTTTTCAATGCCAGACACAGGTCCCATATCATGTCAAGGATTGTGTCAGGTCAACAAAGATAATACTCAATTTTTTAAGAGTCCAAGCAGCATAGATGGAAAAATGCAACTCCATGAGGATAGATTTGAAATTAACAATACTTACCTCATATGCAGCACTTATCTCTTTGAACTTCTCTTCTGCACCAGGACTCTTATTCATATCTGGATGATACTGTTTTGAATGATATATCAATTATTGCACAATATGTGAACTAAGAATAAGTTAAACATAGACTGGCACAGTCCCATAACTTGGACTTGACCATCTAGTTTTTGACTAGTAATAGTCTAATTGATCATAACAAGTGCCAAATGCCAACATATATCATATTCTATCTTTTTCAAATATTATAATCTTACGGAAAAAAAAAAGCTACCATAAAGAAAGGGAAATAGAGAAAGGAAAGAAAATATTAGAAGACTTTTGAAAACTCTTTTTCCCATCTGATTTGGTTAGTATAAAGAAAAATTAATGGCAGACATAAAAAATGAACTAAAGAGTGGATATCTTCACTTTCTTTTTGAGCTTTATTATTCGATCTACTTTTCAATCAAACCTATCCTAGGGAAGTCACTCCACCCAAATATGATGCAACCTATAGCCTTGAAATCAGGGGGATAGAAAAGAGAAAGAACTGGACACTATGCGACCTAGAAATAAAGGGGAATAAGGGAGGGGAACAAAATATCATAAGACTTATGAAAATGCTTTTTCCTTCCTATTGTTCGGTTAAGATAATGGAAATTTAAGGACAATAAATGAACTAACAAGCACCCAAATATTTTGTAAATCTGTCCAAAATCTCAATATATCACTGGCAAACGAAAAACTTCAGTGGACAATTATTAGGGCCCCATTAATTGAGCAGTTTTAAATATCTACAAAGCCTTTTTTAATATTATTTGAAATTCCAATAATTTGGGCAAGTCTTATATTGAATATGTTATATACAAGTACTTTTAGATCACTTACCTATTTTTCTAGACGTTCTACCATCATAAATTTTGCAGAAATTCTCCTTCTGATTAGCGGACATTATTACAACTTCAAACTACAACGACTTTACATCCCTTGACTAAATATGATCCTGAAAATACTGGTTCTCTTAAGAAAAAATCATAAGCCAGTCATCAGAAATAGCCAACATGCAAACCCAAATAGTTCACCGCACCTGGAAGATTTAGAATACACTACTAAAAATTGAAAGGTTTTAATTAAATGCTTGATTTCTCTGCATGATTAACGAGCTCTTGGACTGATTCCACTGGTGTTAGAACCAAAGACAGTTCATAGCTGCAGAGTGAAAATAAGTATAGAAAGACATCACTTTACGACCAAATACACTATTCTGATCATTGAAGGTCAATATCTCAAAAGAACACCCTCTATTTGAAGCAACTAGGTGATTGGTTTGAGATCAAATTGATGCAAGAATTCTATGGAAGTAGATAACTTATAGATTAATTCAATTCATTTAACGGTAGAGCCTGATATACAGTAATGGTATGTAAATATTAAAAGCTCGTGATTTCCTTTTCTAGGAGTTCAATCTATAACCAAAGCGTATATCATCCCATTTTCAAGAGAGAAAAACGAACCCAAAAGATGCAATGTAAGCCAGCTGCGAGATTCGAAAACCAACATCAAACTAAATGAAAAAAAGCGACGAACCTTGCGAGCAAGATTCCTGTAAGAGGCCTTAATCTCCTGCAAAGTGGCACCGCGACTGACGTTCAAAGTGGAATAATAATCGGAGCCGGCGGCCCTGATTATGCCGCTGCGACGGCATTTCCTGTTGACGATACGAAGACGATAGAAAGGGGGTTGGGTTTTGCAGAAGAATTGGGAATCGCTCCAACCCAAGCCGACGACGGAGCTTCCACTGCCACCGGCATGAAATAGAAACGAGATATGTCTAATTCCACAATGTTGGACTGGATACGAGGTTGCCATTCTTTTTCCTATTAGCAGGGGCTTGGGGTTTAGCAATTTTGTTGAGGTTTTAGGCTTTTAGCGCTCCCTCAAGTTTTTTTTTTATCTATAATCTATTGATTTTTTAATGGTAGAGAACAAAATTTTATACTCTAAATTAACATAACAAAATAGATTTAAAATCAATTAAATAATTGATTTAATTATTTAATTTAAATATATAATTTATATTTAGGGTAAACTACATGAATGACCAAATAATTAAGGTTTGGGATTCAAAATAACTACTATTTTCAAAATTATAGCAGTTTTGCCACTATGCTATTTAAATGGAGCCAAAAAAGACCACTAGCCATTAGAAACGAAACGACGAGTCTAATGTGGCCGTTAATTTCAAACAGCAAATCTATGTGTACATTTAAAATAATTTATAACAAAAAAAGATAAAAAAATGCTAAAAATAACCAGACCATTAAACTTCATTTCAATAAAAAAAATATCAAAGTTTCATTGCAAAGAAGAAGCAGAAATATGTGGAGAGCGTTTGAAAATGAGTGGATTTGGATCTCATCCTCTTTAATCTCTAGATTGCCATGGCATTCATTTACGTTGTTTAGCCTAGATAAATGATCAGCAACCTGATTTTCAGTTCCTTTTCTATCCTTAACCTCTAAATCAAATTCTTGCAATAGCAAAATCAATCTAATAAGTCTAGGTTTGACATCCTTTTTATTCACTAAATATTTAATGACCAAGTGATTGGTATGCACAATAACCTCTAAACTTATCAAAAAGCAAATATCACAACAAGTAATTCTTTTTCGGTGGTTGTGTAGTTTATTTGTGCTTCATTAAGTGTTCGATTAGTATAATAAATGACATGAAAAATTTTACCTTGTCTTTACTCGAGCACTGCTCCCACGGCGTAGTCACTTGCATTGTACATCAATTCAAAGGGAGTCATCCAGTCAGGTGGGATAACTATTGGTGTTGTGACAAGTTTTTCCTTCAGCTTCGTAAATGCGCTGTAACACTCTTTATCGAATAGAAATGGTTGATTATGTTGTAGCAGAAGATAGAGAGGCTTCAATTTTTTTTTGAGAAATCTTTGATGAAACGCCTGTAGAATCCTGCATGCTCAAAAAAAAACTCCTTATACCCTTCACGGTGGTAGGTGAAGGCAATTTCTCGATCACCTCAACCTTGGCTTTGTCGACCTCGATTCCCTTATATGAAATCTTATGCCCCAGCACAATTCTTTCTGTCACCATGAAGTGGCAATTTAATCCTGCATGCTCAAAAAAAAACTCCTTATACCCTTCACGGTGGTAGGTGAAGGCAATTTCTCGATCACCTCAACCTTGGCTTTGTCGACCTCGATTCCCTTATATGAAATCTTATGCCCCAGCACAATTCTTTCTGTCACCATGAAGTGGCAATTTTCCCAGTTGAGCACTAGATTGTCCTCCTCACATCTCTTCAATACCTTAGCCAAGTTGTCAATGCATTTATCAAAATTGTCGCCCGAGACGGAAAAATTGTCCATGAAGATTTCCAAGAAGTCTTCTACCATATCTGAAAAAACGAATAACATACACCTCTGAAATGTTATTGGGGAATTACAAAGTCCGAACGATATCTTTCTAGAGGCCTAAGTTCCGTACTGGTATGTGAAGGTGGTCTTCTCTTGGTCTTCTAGCGCTATGGCAATCTAGTTATACCCTGAGTATCCATCGAGGAAGCAATAAAATGAATTTCCTACCAATCGATCTAGTATATGATCGATGAAAGTGAGGGGAAATATGTCTTATTGGTCGCCTTGTTTAGCTTTCGATAGTCTATACAAATTCTTCAACCCATGACAGTCTTCGTCAGCAATAGCTCATTCTCCTCGTTGCTCACCACGGTCATGCCTCCTTTCTTTGGCACGTATTGCACCGGGTTGACCCATGAACTATTGGAGATAGGGTAAATTACACCAGCGTCAAGCCCTTTGATAATCTTCTTCATCACCACTTTCTTTATTACGGGATTAAGTCTCCTTTAAGGTTCCACAAAAATGTTATTGCATTAATCTAACTGGATCTTGTGCACGTAGATTGTAGGGTTTATTCCCTTTAAGTCCACCATAGTTTAACCTAGAGATTTCTTATGCTATGACAAGACATTTATCAAACTACGCTCTTGCTCAAGGGTTAGACTAGCAGATATTATAACAGGCAAAGTATCATCACTACCAAAATAAGCATACTTTAAATGTGACGACAAAAGTTTGAGTTCCAAGGTAGATGAATGCTATATCAAAGGTTTCGGAGGAACAAATTCATTAAAGTCAAGAGTTTCGAATCGTGTACCAAGTCTAGCTAGAAGCAAGCTAGACTGTTGTACCTCTGATGAAAATTCCTCAGACTTCGCTATTGCTTCATTTTCATTAAGTCTCTCATAGTCCTCAAGTTGTAAAAAGTTGCTGCAACAAAACTTTACAACTTCATCCTCTAATATTGAGTCCAATTCTAACACACTTTGGCATTCCTCTAAGTCATCCACATACTTAAGTGTGTTAAAGAAGTTGATCGTGACACTCTGGTCAGCAACCCTCATTGTGAACTCTTCCTTCTCACAATAAATGAGAATGCGACCAATGGCTAGAAAAGGGTGCCCCAGAATGATAGGCGCATTGTCTTCGACCTCACAGTCGAGAATAAGAAAATCAGTAGGAAATACAAACATGCCAACTTTCACTATGACATCTTCAACTCTACCATTGGGATGAACATGAGATCGGTCAGCTAGTTGTAGGATCACGGTGGTAGGTCGAGCATTACCCATTCCAAGCTTCAAGAACATGAACTTGGGCATCAAATTTACACTTGACCCAAGGTCACATAGGGCTCTCCCCCATATATTTATCACCGATAGAATACAAAATAACAAAGCTGCCAGGATCTTTTGCTTCGACGGAAGTTTACTCCGAGCATAACAATATTCTTTCACTGTGGTGACAGTTTCGAACTTTTCCACATTTATCTTCTTTGTGACAATATCCTTGAGAAACTTGGCATAAGTAGGCATCTTATCAATGGTCTCCAAAAGTGGGACATTGATATATAACTGAGGATGTCAACGAACTTCTTGAATAGAATTTCATCGTTGTGCTGCTTTAGTATTTGAAGGAAGTATAATGGAGGTATGACTTCTTCTACTGCAGGTGAGGGAACAACTTCTGTTGTAACATTATTTTTTCCTCCATCAGTAGGTTTACTCGTGGAACCCTCATCATTGTCCTTCTCCATAGGCATTTCTTCTTGCACTTCATGTTCTTGTTGCTCTTCAGATTTTATTTGCACAATGTTATGACAAGAATTTTCTTGTTTATTCCCCCCAAATTTGCCTTGTGAATTAAGGTGGTTACCACTCCTCAGCGTAAGCGAACTGTATTGCTCCTTTCCATGAGGCTTAGTGACTTTACTATCACTAGGGAGACTACCTTGTGGGTGAGCATGTAATGTTGTAGCAATTTGGCCCACTTGGTTCTCTAATTCTCTCAAAGATGAGCTATGCTTTGAAACAAATCTTCTTGATTATGCAAAAGTGTGTCTTGGCTTTTAATTATTGATGAGTGCTCATGTAATAAAGCCTTTTTTGAAGCCATAAACTATTGTTAGTAGCTTCAAAAAAGTTAAAATTTGAAGTAGAAGTCGAACCCTTGTTAACATTCTGCCATAGCGTATGTTGTTACTGAAATCCTGAAGGTTCAGTAATATTTTATTGTGGCATGTTCAAGTTGCCTGCATTGTTGTTGTTTACCCCTTGATTACCCCATGAAAAGTTAGGATGCTAACCCCATCCTAGGTTGTAGGTGTTAGAATAGGTGTTGTTGTTGCTTCGATTAAAATTTCCCACGTAGTTGATCAATTCTTGATTATCTGGGCATTCACTTTCATGGTGATTGCCACGACATAAGAAGCAAATAGAACTGGCCATCTTTACTTCCTTCACCTCACTGGAACGCTAAAGATTTTTCAACATATTTGTTATGACAGAAAGTTGGGCAGATACTGAATTCTTAACATCTAACTCGAAATTCCCATATGTCTTCCTTCCAATTCTAAGCCTTGAAGAGGAAAATTGATAGTCATTATTGGCTATCCTATCAAGTTTGTCAAAGGCCTCTTCGGGTGATTTGTCAAGCAAAGTACCATTTGCTGAACCATCTAACATCATATGTGTGGGTGTATTCACTCCATTATAGAACATCATGACTTGAGTTCAGTCGTGGAATATGTTATTAGTGCATTTGCGAAGTAAACTCTTATATCGGTCCCAACACTCATACATTGATTCGTCATCAGCTTGACGAATACTTGATATTTCATTTCGAAGTTGAGTCTGCATGTTGGGTGGATTATACTACAACAAAAAAGCTTTTGTAACGATCAGCCCAAGTCTCCATCGAGATGGATAAAACTCCACTAAGCCAAGCTCTTTCTCGGTCACGCAAAGAATAGGGAAACAACTTTAGCTTTAGCACATTCTCGTGCACTCTTTGCTCCTTGAATGTGTCACAAACTTCCAAGAAGGCATAGATGTGTTGTCTTGCATCTTCGTTAGGCATGCCACCAAACTGTCTGATTGAATTAAACATGTTGAACATGAATGGTTTAAGCTCGAAGTGGGCTGTCTGAATCTCGGGTGCTATGATCCTTAGGTTGAGATCGTCCAGAATAGGAGTTAAGTGATATCGAATAGATCTCGGTTGAGGTACAAGCCTTTCATTCCCAAATGCTACAATATTTGGATCTGTAGGATCTTGAACTCGCTAAACACCTTGGTTTGATGGATTGTTCATTACTCGATTAGCACTTTGAATATGTCATCTTTGACGAAATAAATTCTCGATATCCAGAACTAGAGGATAAAGTGGTTCTTCGATAGTCATTCGGGTCATGCAACAATAAAACCTAGAAAAGAAGTAAACAAAAATAACAAGTAAAACTAAAAATAAAAACTCTTGCTATAGCGAAACTTTTAAAAATTAACCAGTTGTCAATCCCATGTAATGGCGCCAAAAACTTGATCACGTGTAAATAT